AGTAAAGACAATATTTTGGAATGCCACTGGGAGAAAGATAGCTTTCTGCATTTCAGAGGATCAGGAGGAAGAGATATTCAGGATTTTTTTTTGTGAAGGTTTGGTTTAAAAGGTAAAGGTTTCCTCTTGACATTAAATCTAGATGTGTCTGACTCTGGGGGTGGTGCTCATCTCGATTTCTAAGTTAAAGAGCTGGCATTGTCCATAGACACCTCAAAGGTCATGTGGCTGGCATGACTGCATGGAATGCTATTACCTTCTTACCAAAGCAGTACCTATTGATCTACTCACATTTGCATGTTTTCAAACTGCTAGGTTGCCAGAAGATGGGCCTAATAGCAGGAGCTCACCCCCTCCCTGGATTCAAAGTGCCAACCTTTTGATCAGCAATTTCAGCAGTTCAGTGATTTAAGGCGCTGCGCCACTGGGGGCTCCAAGATATGTTTATGCTTCAATTATTAGTCATTACATTCAGCAGTAAACTGCAAATTGAACTTCAGTTGACCACCAAGCCATTAAAAATACTTTACTAAAATCCATCAAGTTTTTGAAAAAAATGACTTTCTGGTACAAAAGGAGGGGAAATAGATATACTCTCTGCAAGGGAGAAGTCCATTTGCTCACCTCTATATATTTTGTTTCCTCGGGAACTTTCTGGAGCTTGTGATTGACAAAAAAAGGAGAGTGCCAATGATACCGCACTACTAAGCAGCACCTCCCCTTACTCAGAATACAGGTCTAAGCAAAAAAAGGGTTTTCTCCCAATAATGCTATTCATTACGACAGTGATTGTACAGAGCACGTGGAGGCCACCGTTTAGCCAAAATAAAAATGTAGTAAGACATTTGGGTTTTGAACTACAGTTAATTACAATTTTACCTCAGGACTCTCTTCTTTTCAATGCTGTCAACATTGATGCATCGCCATAATAATACTGCTATCAAGAAGGGCATGGAAAATGGCAATTTTTGTAACTCAAAAGGAAACCCGTTGAAAGTGAACTTCAGAAGATCCACTAAATTAATAATTGAACATTTATGTCAATCCCATTAATTTAGGCATCAATGCACTTGGATGGGAAGAAAGAAGAAAAGGGAGACCATAAAGGCAACAAACACAACAGACTCCCTTGCACAATGTTTAATCTGTGGGGTGGTACTGCCAAACCCTGACTATCTAGAGACCACAAATGATAAAAGGGACTCGTGCTTCAATAGACCTTTTGTTTGGCTTCATCAGTGTGTTATTGACTCCATACAACAAATAGTGAAAAATTAAAATAAATGAACGAGAAGGAAGAGAAACGAAAGAAGCAAAACTGTAAGTGAGTCATGCAAAGCAGGTGTGTTCCTAGATTTTTCTTCTTTGAGAGGGGTGTAAAATAGATAGACACAAGTAGGAGATAAAGGTGGAATAGGCAAGGATAAGGACACTAAGAAAATAATATTTGATATGTATTCTGGAATGGTGATGGACTGTAATACTATTCTAGCTGTGTCGGCAATAAAAAAACATATATTTAAAAAAAAGAGAGGGAATTTGGTACTAGACACAAAACTAAGGTAAGAAGAATAACGACAGGTTCGTGGTACCACTAAAAAAACCCAAAACTCCAGCATGTTTCAGTAATTTAAAAAATTCAAAACTAATCAAATACACAAGTGAAACAAAAATAAACAAGTCAAGCAAACATCCAAGGCAGGTAAAAAAGCAAAAACCTTCCACAGAGCAATAAAAATCATCTTCCAAAACACAACTAAATATGTCTTTTTTCTTTCACTAGACTCCCTTTTTCTTATGATTTCCATTTTGGTGGCCACACTTTTTAAAAATGTTATTTAAAAATATGCTAAGAGGAGCTGGTGAAGCAGGTGTATTGCTTCTCCCCTTTTCTCTCTGGCTTTCTCTTCCTACAGATCTAGTGGATTGGCCAAGGCAGAATTCCCTTCTTTCCCAGTTAAAGATGTCCTGCTTTGTTCACTGCAGATACACTGCTGCAACCTGGCACCAGAGCTACTTATTCATCCCTCCTTTCACTATCCTTAGTGGTAACAATACCAAGAGAAATGTATAGTTACACAGAGATCGAGGAAGAAAGGCACCTGGGCAAGTATAGAAAGGCTTTGTAAAACAGAGTTTCTTTGTCAGAGGTTTTGCTAATTGAGATACATCTGTAGAATATAGGCATAAGGGCTCCAGCAAAAACCATCAAAGATCTGGAGCCAGAACAAACCCAACATGCACCTACACTGTAGAATTAATGAAGTTTGACATCACTTCAACTGTTGTGTCTCAATGCTATGGAATCATGGGAGTTGTAGTTTGGTGAGGCTCCTTTGACAGAGAAGGCTAAAGACCTTGTAAAACTACAACTCCCATGATTCTAAAGCACTGAACCATGGTGGTTAAAATGGCACAGATTCTATAGTGTAGATGTGTCCATAGTAGCCTTGATTTTGTTCAAGTGCATTTTGATCTCAGCCCTTTGATTTCAATGCATTTTCTCAATATAATTCTAAAAAATATATATTTTAAGATTTCCGTGCAATCAAAACGTGCAGGATTATCTTTACTCAAGGGAAAATTCTTGATTTCTTTGTGCAGTTTTTTCTGCTTTCTCTATTGCGGATTCTCAGATAATTTCTGCCTCTGACACTTGGGACATTCCATGCCAGGGGTGATTGACGTGAGAGTGACTTGAAGGAAACATCTGATTAAGCAAAGTGTGAGATCCATTGTGCCAATCAGCACCCAGTTGGGGAACAGGAAAGTCAAGGCAGGAAGACAGACTTATTCAGAAGCTGGAAACTCATGCCCAAGGAAAGAAGCAATTTACGGCACACAGCTAACAGGTGCTTAGCGCTTTCTTCCCGGAGGCAATGGAATCTTTCAGGAACCGAGCTGATGTTACTTGAGAGAAACAGAAGCGGTGTCTTCCTGATGAGCCAGGCTAGTGGTATTTGCCAACAACATGTACCGTACATGGCAAGGCAGACAAACTAACCAACAGCAAGGAGTGCCTAAGATATTTTGCCACTTGATACACAACAGCCAAATGCATACACAACACTCAACCAGTACTTTTCCTTCTCTTCCTGGCATTAAATGGACAAATAAAATAACTAAGAATTTCCCACCCTTGTTCAGCACATCAAAATCTGCTGAGATGGCTGGCCCTAATGAGAAGGCCAGTCTTAACCAGGAACCCAATAAGCCAGGCAGGGTCCATAATCATTTCTTATTGCAGCTTTGAAGGTGTGTCACCTACTAACTGTATCCAGTGCCCATGCCTACACATCTAGGCCTCATCCACATTGAAGGCGGATAACATAAGCAGAAGAAATAACACATCAAAAGGAACTCTTAATCCCTGGAGAAGCAAGAGGCAAAGTGTGCCATGAAGCCAAGAACTGTTTTGCTACAACTTGAGGAATCTCAGGCTCCAATTTCCACTCAAGCCATGGACCCAAGTCAGCCATGATCAGTCTATCCCAGGTATGGGCAAACTCTGGCCCTCCAGGTGTTTTGGACTCCAACTCCCACAATTCCTAACAGCGTCAGGTGCTTTCCTTCCCCTCCCCTTCTGCTTAAGCGGCTGAGGGGGAAAGGAAGGGGCCTGAGGCTGTTAAGAATTGTGGTAGTTCGGAGTCCACAACACTTGGAAGGCCAAAGTTTGCCCATGCCATGTCATAACACAGGATTGTTATGAGCCATAGAAAATGGAGCAGAAAGTACAATCAATGCTGGGATGAAAATATGATTTCTTATTTCATAAAACGGGTATACATTTTGAACCATAAAGAATATTGATTTATGAATGCTAAAAAAGAATGAATAAATCTAAAGTATAAAGCCTACACATTCACAAGACCCTCAAGCTTCCTGTTGAGTCAAAAGTCACTGGTTTTTGGGGCAGCTTAAAAGGTAGACTAGGCAGAGCACTTAGATTTTCTTTGTGTTAAGCTTAAAGCACTGCCAGGATGGGATTGACTTCATTTGCCTACAAATAAAGCCGATGCCCAATCCTCCATCTCTTGCTTCTAATCTTAAGGCTGTATAAAGAATATTCAGTGGGAGAGGAAAGACACCTGCTACAATGTTTGAGGAGGGGGAGGGGACATGGAGGGCAGACCTGCCACCTATCAGCTGCTGTCCCGAGGAAGGCCTGGTGGCTAGAGCTCCTCCTGGAGCTGTTCTCAGGACCTATGTCCAGCCATGCTCTTGGAGCTCAAGTGGCTGAGTGCAAAATGAACGCAGTCCGACACTATTTTCACTGCTCGTCTCAGTGCTGTGGAGTCAGGGAATCCTGGAGTCTACAAGCAGGGCCATGTGGGGGGGGGGGATTAAGAGTTCTAACACCCCTCCCCTGAAACCTGGTCTAATCAAGAATTTTAACTGGTTAATCAAGCTATCAGTAAACCAGGTTTCTTTTTTAACTTGACACATTTCAGGGCAGGGTTGAACTTTTAACTCCCCCCCCCCTCCTTGGGCTATGGCCCTGTACAAGCCTTGGTGGGGTCAAAGTGTATTGATATTCCAGCATAGAGCAGGCTGTTAGGAATGGTGGGAGTTGAAGTCCAAAACACCAGGAGGGCCAATCAGGAGGCGGGTCCTGACTGGACAGCCACTCATCACACTAGAGAAACTCCAGTTTCTGCCTGCTACAGAATTCTGGGGTTTGTAGTTTAGGGAGGGTGTTAAAGGCTCCTCCCTCAACTACAAACCCCAGAATTCTGCAGGAGGCAGACTCCGGATTTTAAATGGATTGTGTGATGATGTGTGACCGTCCAAACAGGACCCACCTCCTGCTGGCTCTACCCCAGGCATGGGCAAACTTCAGCACTCAGAAAACGGATTTTAAGTGGATTTTTTCTTTAGTTTGATGAGGTAGTCGTCGGAATCCCTATCCCATTCCCGAAGAGAAGAGAAGAGCGTCCCGTCCCGTCCCCGTGGAGGCAGCCCCGAGGTCCAGAGCGCGCCTTACCGGCTTCCCTTGGGGGTCACACGAGGCGCTCGGCGGGGGCCCCGGGTTGGGGGTGGGGCTGTGCGGCCGGGCGGAGGCGCCCCATCTCCAGGGGCGCGGCGGTGGCGGGTGCGCAGGAGGGCGCGGGGCTGCGCTGGGAGAGGCGTCGCGAGAGCTTGGCGGCCAGGCGGAGGAGGCTGTCCCGGCTGCGCGCGCGGGCCGAGGGGCGGCTGTGGGGGGCCAGGGGGGCGCGCGCCCCGAGGGGCAGCTCCTCGGCCGGGATCCCGCGCAGGTTGCCCGAGTACCAGAAGAGCCAGCAGAGGAGCGACAAGAAGAGCAGCAGCGCCCCGCTCAGCACCAGGAAGTCTTGGAAGGGCTGCCCGTCCAGCACCGGCTGCCCCGCCGCGCCCGCCAGCACCAGCGCCAGCCCCGCCGCGTCCAGCACCAAGGCCCCCGCCAGGAAGACCGCGCAGCGGCTGCAAGCCCGGCACTGGACCATGCCCGACGCTCTCTCGCCCCGACGCCGCCGCCGCCGCCCGGGCAGGTAAAGTCCCCCGCGCCGAGGCACGCCCACGCCCGGGACACGCCCACCGGCGCAGAGGGAGCGGCCAACCCGAGGGCACCTCTGGATGCAGTTGGACAGCGCCTGGACTCCACCGCAGGGCATCCGGACAGTTCGGCTGCTTTCCCAAGGTCTCCAGGCAAACTCCCACTCCCACGAGGCCGTAGCATTGAGCATTCAGGGCAGTTCCAGCGGTGTCCCGCTACCAGGCATGTAGCCAGGGGGGGGGGGGAGGGGCTTCAGCCCCCTCCCCCCGAAATTCTCATGGTGGTCTGCGAGAAGGCCTTACTGGTACATTATTTAAACTGTTATGTTTATTCATATCATGATCCGATCACCATGCTCAATATATCCCATATGCATGGGGGTATTGGGGTAACGATACAAAAGGTTTGCTAGGCTAGACCCTCTTTCACTCAGACTCAGCCCCCCCCGAAACTCAGCCCCCCCGAAACCCCCCCTGAAAAAAAATTCAGCCCCCCCCGAAACGAAATCCTGGCTACAGGCCTGCCCGCTACATTCATTCTACGGCAGGCCTGGGCAAACTTCGGCCCAAATGTTGTTACATAGCGTAATTGTTCTGGCTCAATGCTAAGGAATCATAGGAGTTTTAGTTTTGCAAGGCTTTTGGCTTTCTCTGCCAAAGAGTGCTGGAGCCTCATCAAACTACACATCCCAAAATTACAGAACATTGTGCCATGGCAGTTTAAATGACTTCAAATTATATCAATTTGAGTCATCGCTGGCATTGATGAGTTTCATAGGGACTCAAACATCTGTCACGTTCTGATCTCACCTTTGTTTCAATCTTAGATGCTTAGAGACAGCCCATGTCAGGCCTTGAATGTGAGACTACCAATCAATGCCAGATGTTGTGGAGTACAGGCAACCCCCAAGTTACAAACATTCAATTTACATCCAGCTTCTAGTTACAAACGAGTGGCGGCCAGGTTGTTAACTGATGCTCCTTACAGGGAGCAGTCAACCGTTCTGTTTAAGGAGCTCCATTGGCTGCTGTTCATTTTCCGGTCCCAATTCAAGGTGCAGGTGCTTACCTACAAAGCCCTAAACAGTTTGGGACCCACCTACCTGCGTGACTGCATCACTGTGTATGAACCCACATGATCTCTTCCATCATCTGGAGACGCCCTGCTCGTGCTCCCGCCTCCATCGCAAGCGCGATTGGTGGGAACAAGGGACGGGACCTTCTCGGTGGTGGCCCCTCAACTCTGGAACTCACTCCCCAGAGACATCAGACATGCCCCAACACTGGCAGTCTTTAGTAGGAACCTGAAAACGTGGTTGTTCCAGTGTGCCTTCCCAGAATAAGGAAACTCCCAGCAATATGCACTTTTTAGTGATCTAAGATTGTCTACATGCTCTATCCCTCTCCAAAATTTCTATCTTGTTTATATGTCACCTAGTCACACCCAGCATTATTTTTTAAATTATAATTAGTACATTTGGCCCTGCCATAGGTTTTTAAACATCGTTGTGTTATTGTTAATATTTATTGCTATTTTCTGTTTATGAGTTTATTTATTGTTTGTATTATGGTTGCTATTGTTTTTATTGTTGAATTGTGGGCTCGGCCTCATGTAAGCCGCACCGAGTCCCTTGGGGAGATGGTAGCGGAGTAGAAATAAAGTTTTATTGTTGTTGTTGTTGTTATTATTATTATTATTATTATTAAATGATGGTGAGACAACAGGACATGAAAGGAAATCTCCCCCTTGGAAGGGAAATACACTCCTGGGAGAGTTATCATGGGAAAAAGGGGTCTCCGCTGAAGCTTTATCACCAATCCTTGTTTCCACCCAAGCCAAATTTTCCAAAATCCAGTTATCACAAGGACAGAAAGTGAGATGAAATCTTCTGAACGGTGGTACAAACAGCAAAACAAGCACCACAGGAGTGTTAATCCTTCCCTATGCTATCCAAAACTAATATAGTTCTGCCTTCCAGATACTGTAGCTTACAAATTTTGTCAGCTCTTTCAGCATAGCCATCAGTGAAGGATTGTGGGAGTTCTAGTCTCTCCAAATGTAGACCCAAGGTTTCTCTCCCCCTGTGAAAGAGAGTTATAAACGTGTGCATGATGTGGAAAATGTCAGCAGTGAGATATGTTTTTCACTCTCTCAAGCCTTAGGCAAGAAGATCAGCTGATTGAGTGGAACTGCAGGAAACCCAGGGTGAAACAGACAAAACAAGGAAATATTTCTTTACACAGCCCACAATGTATGGCATTTTCCACCATAATATATAGGCGAGGGAAGGCTACAAGTTTAGAGTCCTATACTTGGAAAGAGATCAGCAATCAAGGGCTTGTGGTCATGAGGGCTCTGAGGGGTTTTCCCCATCCGCTTATTGCAGTGGTTCTCAACCTGGGGGTTCCCAGGTGTTTTGGCCTACAACTCCCAGAAATCCCAGCCAGTTTACCAGTTGTTAGGATTTCTGGGAGTTGAAGGCCAAAACATCTGGGGACCCACAGGTTGAGAACCACTTGCTTATTGCTTGTTGCCTATGATGAAAAAGCAACAAACATGACACTGTTGGTTTTTTCAGGCCAACAGAACGGATGGAAGCAGGAAGCGGCAACCCTTATTGCCTTCATGCTCTGTTTGTGGGCTTCTCAGAGGGATCAGACAGAAAGCAGGATACTGGCCTGTGTCCAAACCCGACAAAGCTACTCTTATCTCAGTTAGGTGTTTGGCATGTTGTTGTTATTAAAATATTTATTTTCTGCTCTACCATTTTATCTGTTTGGAACGAAAGACTACTTACAACAGCATATGCAAGCCTAGTTAAAAATCAACAGCATATACACATTGTCTAGGAAATTAAACCATTATAGAAGTGAAACCAGTTAAAATAAATTAAAACAACAACAAATAAAGGTCCAACACATTATTCAAGACTTATCTGCACCACAAAACACATTTTCAAAGATGTTACCATGTATCAAACTGCTTTTTCTGTCCATTTGTTGTAAAACATGATGTTTTGGTGCTTAATTTGTAAAATCATAACATAAATTGAAGTTTAATAGGCTTTTCTTTAATCCCTCCTTATTATCCAACATTTTTGCTTATCCAATGTTCTGCCGGCCTTTTTATGTTGGATAAGCGAGACTCTACTGTACTTGTGCG